TTAAAAAAAATCAGTTTAAAAGAATTAAGCGATGGTGTAGCAAGGCGCATTTTAAGAATCCTCAACCCTACGATTTGTTCGCTTTAATCGGATCCAGAATTTTCTAATACATTAACTGTAATGGGAATGGGTGGAGTGGGGGGAGAGAGAAGAAAACATGTGGCGCCGCTTGATTCATCGTTTTTGTGATTTCAACTTGGAATTGAGGCAACGGAGGAAGGTGTCCCTATCTCTCTCTCTTTTTATTTTATTTTTTTAATTTTTGGGGTGAATTTAGAACCTTGAATTAAAAAACAAAACATACAAGAGCAAGTTTGCATGCCATGGTGAAGATCACACAAAAATAAGATAATGACAGGTAGTTTAGATAGACATGGTTATGGCCAATGATAAGGTTAGATAAATTTTTTTCGAATATTATTTTTTAAAACTATTTTAATTTAATTATTAAAAATAGTTGATAATTGTAGTTATTAGTTAATAAGTGATAAAAAAAGTTCATGTTTATTATTTAATAGATTAAAATGAATGTATAAACTATATTTTCAAATGTCATAATTAATAACAAAAATTATGGTTTGTGTGGCCATATATAACCATACTCCATTTAGACAGTTGGCAATTAAGATAGGTTAAATATCATTTTTAGTTTTTAATTTTTTTAATTTTGAATAATATTAGTTTCTAAATTATCTTCTACACATTTTTATTTCTAAACTATAAAAAATACACTTTTAAATTTTTTTTATTAAATTAGAGTACAAGTGGTACTTAATACATATATTATAAGTTTAAAAACTAAAAACATGTATAGATTTAATGAATTAATTAACAGAAAAACTGAAAAAAAAGTAGGTTTTTCATAATTCAAGATAAAAAAAGTGCACAAATAGTTTATGGATTAAAAATGTTTAAAATTAAAGTTGAAGGACTAAAAAAGCATTTAACCATTTAGATAAGATAACTCTCAAGTCACAACCTACCAAAAGAAAGATAATTATAACATATTACTCTTTCTATCTCAAAAGAATTGTTATTTTTTATTTTAAATTTATTATCATTTTTTTTTTTATTTTTCAAGGTAGATAAATTTTTTATCCTACTTTAACCTATCATTATTTATCATTTTAATTATTCATCCAATAACAAAAAAGTCTCCCTTTATTTTTTATTCTTTAAAAAGTGTTATAGATAAATATAAAAATTTGAGAATTAAATAAAAAAATGACAATTATTTTTAAACAGATAGGGTAAATAAGAAGTGTTTATTTAAGTGGTATTGAATTAAGAATAAATATAAAATTTTATACGTAAATTAAATTATTACATATGTGTTTTATTGAAAAACAAAATAGTACTACTAAGGTTGAAGGGGATCAATTTCATTGATACAAGCACTTACAGCACATACTGTCATGTAATTGGTTGCCTAATTCTTATATACATTGATTGATACCGGAAAAAAAAAAAAACCAAAACAAAAATAAAAATTCTACACTAGTAATAGAAACTGAAGGAAAACTTCTTATTAATTGATTAAAACTCTAGTGGCCAATAATAATAATAATAATAATAATAATAATAATAATAATAATAATAATCAAAACTCAAACTTCAAACAACAGGCTAGGATCCACAAGGAAAAAGATTGATACGTAACAACA